AAGTATTTGAAGACACAACTATACAGCTGCAAAACATTGGTCTCAACCGGTCCGACACAGAAACACTGGCAACCAATGGCGTGAGTTTTGTGGTTACGCTAGTGTCCCAGAAATGACACACCTCACTTTTAAATACTGTGATCAGCCCAAAGCTCTCATGTACAAATGAAGCATTTCGATGAATATGTTCTCTAGTGCATTGTTTGAGAAATCTGCTATTCTGACTGATAAAGCATCCCAAGCAATGCAAGGTGATCATGCAGTGAGATCCAACTCAAATGACTGTAGAAAGAGTGGACGTTTCTCTTTATCTGCAGAGTCAGAGGAAGCTGAGGTGCTAAAAGCAGGACAAAATCAATCACTCTGCTGCTCTTGGCTTGTCTTCTTCTTCTGTTACTTCTGACGGGCAGAACTGTTTCAAGTTACCTCACAGCTCTGGGCTTGTGTTTAGTGGCCAACGTGTTCACTACACACTAAACAACAGAATGAAACTCATAGAAAATGAACAAACGCCTCTTAAATTAAACATAACCACCCTGATGTTTATCAGCTATATTATGAATGGCTCGATTTCAGGACATTGCTTATTTTTGCAGTTAGGGATGGGAGTGTAACATAAGAGCTTTGTGTTTATGAATTGCAAATGCATGAAACATTCATGAGACATGCATGAATAAGATGTTTCATACTGCACTCGTTAACACAATGAATCTCAGAAGCTCGCTCCCAAGGGGAGCTTAAGAGGCTTTTAAACATCCTGAAGATGTGGAGACTCTAAAAGCTGTCGACGGACCTTAACACACCCTGTCCACATCCATCAACTGATTAAAAGCAGACTTCCCTGTAAGTGGGTACTATCAATTATTTGGGTTTAATATAAAAGAATATCAATACATATTAAAATCATTTAATTTTAATTTTAAATTTGATGTAAAATTTGTGTTTAAACTTAAGTTATATATTGAAGTATTTCATTATAAAAATGTCAAAATAACAAACAAATGATATTTGATTCGAGAAAAATACCCATTTATCTATAGGTTGTGCTAATGTCAGGCTGCCCATTTGAAATGTGCCATATATCAAAACACCATCACTCTGATTCAGGATTAATGCTGACTCTCATTGATCATATGGACATTAAATTCACTCTCATTGATTGTACAAATGGCCATTTTCCATTGAACTGAAGTTAGTAGAGTGAAGTATTGGCATTGCGTGTAAAAGCACACTGTTACACACAAAAGACATCTGAGTTTGAAGAGTAACTCTGACGAAGTGTCTGTCCTAAGGGGACGTCAATGCAGAATACTGTACAATTTCAGGTGAAACATCTCTGGGCAGATGTTGTTTTATCCAGATAGTTATGGATAGGATGTGTTGAGGCACTGAATGACTCAATTGGGCTTTTCTGTGAACGATTAATGGAATGGGTCCTGAATTCAAACCACAGGAGCCCACACACATTGCACGGTTCACTAACAAAATCTGTGCAAACTATAAGGTTATGTTCACAATTCCATTGCCAGTCGTTTTTTTTTTATACACAGATCGGTTAGTTTCGAGAGTGACAATTGCATTCTATAAAAAAAGATACCATTTTCAGGAGTCACAACCGATTTTTGAGCGCACGTTTGGCCAGTTTACACATATGATATGAGGTGGTGAACGTGATTTCACCAAGTACCACATGTTCCTGGATCAACATCTGGAACAACATTCCAATCAACCAATCAGATTTGAGGGACAAGTTTACAGTTTATGTCAAGTTTAGGTTTACACCCAGGGTTAGGTGCTTCTACATCATCGATCATTTCCCTCTGATTTTAGGGATAAGTTACGGGTCGGGATAGATTTGGGGTCAAGACTAAATTTTTGGACAGGAGTGGTGTTATAGGATAAAAAAAAAAGTTTTGTCACGGTGACCAATATAAGGCATGCACAACAACGCAAGTTATTCTTTGCTAATATTTACAAATGTTATTCCAGCTTCTCTTGTGTTATGAAAAATGGCAGAATACAAGGAATTGTGTGGTTGGAGATTGAGAAATAAAACTTGAACGTTAACTGAACAGAACCAGAGAGCTGTAACCACTATAGGAATAATTCATTTAAGAGTCGCACCTGTTTAAAGACTTTGAACTCTTATACTCTAAGTGAACAGAGTCAAAGACAATGAAATTAGAGACATCAGATCTTAACAAAGCACATCAAAAGTTCACAGCCAATTAGCAGCAGCTGCTCTGTAAGTCGCATCTTTCCTCAAGCTCTTTAAAAAGGGAACTAGCTGCTCAATGCTGCAGGTCGATTTCAGATTCGTCCAGTTCAACCCCATCTGGAGGTGTTCGAAACCCCTTTCAGTTGTGGTGTGAATGCTTATGTGTCTGAATGCTTTCAAACTACACTAAGGACAGATGTATCAACCAGTTACCTAAAACAAAGGTTTTAAAGGGTTAGTTCACCCAAAAATGAAAATTCTGTCAGTAATTACTCACCCTCATGTTGTTCCAACCCCGTAAGACTTTCCTTCATCTTCGGAACACAAATTAAGATATTTTTGATTAAATCTGAGAGCTGGATCACTCCTCCATAGGCTTCTTAAGGGATCGAAACTGACCGGCCCAAAAGTTATGAAAGACATCGTTAAAATAGTCCGAGTGACTACAGTGGCTCAATCTTAAGTTTATCAAGCGACGAGAATACTTTTTGTGCGCAAAAAACAAACAAAAATAACGACTTTATTCAACTAATCATTTCCTTCTCTGTATGGCCGTGATATTTCACGTAGTGAAACTACTCAAAGCTTCTAGGTTGTACGTCACGCATCACACACATGACCAGCGTCGGCCAATAGTGAGCCTACGTGTGACGTGCAACCTTGAAGCTTTGGGCAATATCACTACGTGAAATATCACGGCCATACAGAGAAGGAAATGATTAGTTGAATAAAGTCGTTATTTTTGTTTGTTTTTTGCGCACAAAAAGTATTCTCGTCGCTTGATAAACTTAAGATTGAGCCACTGTAGTCACTCGGACTATTTTAACAATGTCTTTCATAACTTTTGGGCCGGTCAGTTTCGATCCCTTAAGAAGCCTATGGATGAGTGATCCAGCTCTCAGATTTAATCAAAAATATCTTAATTTGTGTTCCGAAGATGAAGGAAAGTCCTACGGGGTTGGAACAACATGAGGGTGAGTAATTACTGAAAGAATTTTCATTTTTGGGTGAACTATCCCTTTAAGCTTTGACGGGTTTAAACCATAGGCTGTAAAAAAAAAACAGGACCTTTTAAAAATAAATTGCAGTCTGATCGAAAAATTTGTAAAAGCACATACATATGCACACAGAATACTTCTTCAGTATGCCTGATATCAACGTGCAGTACATGCAGGAACGCTTGCCTAAAATTACTGTTGTGAGATTAAAATTATAGTGCATTTGGGAGAAATATGGCACTGATATAATCCCTTGAGACAAATCTTAATACCAAGTGTAAACTGCACCTGAGAGATGGGTCAAATGGGCTGCTTCTACTTCATATTTTTCCATTCTGATTATAGTGCTGATGTAATGAAGGCCAGCCAGTGAAAGCTGTGCTGGTAAACCTCACTCTGATCTAAGAGGCATGACTGACGCTAGAGTAGACACTGATACATTTGAAACATTTATAGAGATACTTCAGGCATCATTGTGTCAAATGAGTAAAGGATTGTTAACACTAGTTAATACATACGTTGACACAAACTAATAATGAACAATACTTTTACAGCATTTATTCATCTCAGTTAATGTTAATCTCAACATTTACTGATATATTTATAGGATCAAATGTTGTTTTTATGTAATTTTATGTTCAAATTTAAATGCATGGTGAACTAACATGAACATTTTTATTAACTAACATTAACAAAGGTTAATATATATATTGCTCGTTTTTAGTTCATGTTAGTTAATGCATTAACAAATGAGACCTTATTGTAAAGTGTTACTGAAAATGCATTACGGAAATTATCAGTTAAATATTATCAATATATAAGTCAATATACTGTAATATACAATACTTTATATCATTAAACATAAGCTTATCACTGATGTACAGTCCTCAGTGATTTATTTTGCAATTGCATTTTCTGCTTGATGTTTTTTTTTTTATTGTTGGTGTGTCTTTTATTTTCAGTTTCTCACATGAGCACTTTTTTTTTTAAAGATGCTCTGACGAGTTAAACTTAAACAATTTTTGAGACCCCTGGGTTCAGTTCCATCAAATTGCACTCAATCCAAATCCGTATGTATTTCGCATGCCACTTTAGGCGTCTTTAACTACTATTCACTAACATTTAAATCAGTCATTTGATACAATATGGTGTACACATATACCTAATTAATTTCTGTAATTACATCTATAATTACACCATTGATCCTTCCCTTACCCCTTAACCAACCCTTAAACCTACCCATACCACCAAACCTGTCACTAACCTTACCCGTATCCACCTCAATAGAAGCACAAGTGATTTTGGTTGCACTTTATTTTACAGTACTCGTACTTACAGTGAACTTACCTAAGAAAGTGCTGGGTAATATAAAGTAACTACATGGGTTACGGTTAGGTTTAGGGGTAGGTTCAGGGTTAGAACCTTTCCCAGTTATTGCAGTTAATAAGTACATAGTATAGGACTGTAAAATAAAGTGCTACATTTTTTGCAACACAAAACGAACAGTTAGCACACTGTACTTATTTTTTGATGTAAGTACATTATAGTTAAATGAACCTGATATAAAGTGGGATTGTATTCTGTGCTGTCTACTCACAGCGATTATGGTTTCGTGTGTTATGTTTTTCGAAGTAATTAATTGTACTAATCAAATTGTCGCACACACCTCAGACTAATACGTGTTGTCGTTTTTCATAGCATTTAAGTTGCTTGTCCATAATTTGAGTGTTTGAGAAAACCTCAGTTCTTAAGCTGTAGTTAAGCTGAACAGGATGTGTTCTTACCGTCTGCCCGGCTTATCCAGACTCCACAGCGTGCCTGTTCAGCTGACCTCTGTGTAAAAATGGCATTGATCAATATTCCAGCCCTTTCTCTTTAGAAGAGTGTTTTAGTTTCTCTCTTTATGTAACATGGATGAATCCTGCGCAGTGTTTAGGAAAAATTGTGAGCTCGTCCAGGATACGCACTGCATTCCTCAGTTACAGGATCCTCTAGAAATCCAGGGATGCCGAGAGCGTAAAAAAGATCTGAATATCCTCATGCTGCTTTAAGCTATTAAACCAAAATGGGAAAAGGAAGAAAATGTCTTCACAATCTGTGCTGTAACCAGCCTTAAACAAGAGTGCAACTCATGAACGGTGTTTTGGTCAATATGTAAGCCAATGTCCTGTAAAAATCACTTTTTTTTTTAGTTATGAGTTGTTATATTCGACTTTCTTATTTGCGTAAATTGAGAGGGAAAAAAGAAGTAAATATGGAAGGATGTCCTCCCAATCTGTCCTGTGATGATGAGTAACCAGCCTCAAATAATGAGCGCTGCGAATAGAAACCCATTAGCTGCTCTCCCAGCCAACATTACACTTCCACACAAAAACCAGTAATTCAAGGATCTGTCACTCAAAACACCTGCAAACTATTACTCATAAAAAATACACACATATATATATTTGAAGATTTTGAAAGCGCTCGTTCACCTGTTTACAAAAGCAGCTGTTCATGGGCGGTTCTTTAAATGTTTACTGTGCAGGTTCTTGTCTTACATCCTTCATATACACAACTCCGAAAGAAGTAATCACTTCGAAAAACAGCTTCAAACAGATGTTTATCCAACAGATTCCTCTGTAATGATTCATAAATGCGCGGAAAAGCTGTGTTGCTGCGAGTCGCTGACTGCAAGTCCCTACAGAAGCCAAAATCCCATCACGCTCCCTCTGAGAGAGGCGCATACATGTTGCCATGAAGCCAGATCTGTCCTTCTGCGTGAACACGTCCAAATCTGTATTCCATCACTTTTGCTGCTGTCACCCGAAGCTGAGTTTTCAAATACTTGACATCGGCCCCACGCCTCATTACAGATGGAGATTAGGCTCCCAGAGTCAGGTACCTGTCCAACGTGTCCTGTGCTCTCGCCGAGAGGACACGCCACCTTCTCCCTGATCCTTTCCACACCAGAGGATTAGAAGCCTTTGGCAGCTGCTACCTGCTGCGCCACGTAATGAAGCAACCCTGACAACTCAACTGAATTAAACAGACACAGTGTTTATTTCCACTCCACCGTGAGATGATGACAGTGAGAGCAGCACTGTGGCATTAGAGATGAGATTGGTGAACTGCTGGAGAGCTGGAGAAAGGGGTGGGTGACTAGAGGAGAGGGAGGGTGTTTGGTGGAGGTATTGTGAGGGCGGATGGCATGGGTTACCTCCCCCTCCTTATATCCACACACGAGCTCCACCCCCTGTCCATTGTGGACATTTACCTTTGGCTTGGTCTATGCTACAGATGTAAACAAAGTCCTGCCAAAATTGTACTATTTAGTTTATTTCTTTATTAGAGTGCCTGCAATGCGGCGCTGTGTTGATATTCCTTAAACACTGTGGTTAGAGTTTGTTCTAAACCCTAACCATAAGTATTTAACCTCCGTATAGTCCAACTCTCTACTTGCGAAATTTACATTGTGACACTATTTTTTGGTAAACATTAGATGTTTTTAGACATATAAGATTAAAGTTCTCCTATTGGCAATTGCAATTGGTCTTCTTTGGTCTTGCTCTGTCAAACTGAACTCTCTCTTTGAAAGCATATGCAATTTCTAATGTTTAAGGGCCCTATTTTAACGATCTAAGCGCATGGTCTAAAACGCACAGCGCAAGTGCACTTAGGGCGTGTCAGAATCCAGTTTTGCTATTTTAACGACGGGAAAAATGGTCGGTGCGCCCGTCGCATGGTCTGAAATGGTTGTCCGTATTCTCTTAATGAGTAATGGGTGTGTTTTGGGCGTAACGTGCAATAAACCAATCAGAGTCTCATCTCCCATTCCCTTTAAAAGCCAGTTGCACTCGCACCATGGCGGATTCGCTATTTACATGGCGCAATTTGCAAGCTGAAAAACTGAACGCTTCTCGAGGAAACGGATCTGCTTGTGCGTAAGGTTAAAGCGCACAAGCAGACCATCTATGGGACAAAGTGTACGTGCGTTGCGGACCCACCTATAGGCGCACATTACTAACGCACTTTTTAAATAACAAAAAAAAAATTAGACAAAGGGGAGCTGGAGCGCTGCTGGTATCCCTTGTATCCTCTGGTGCACTTGGAAGGGTTAAATGTTCATAAAAAAGGAGATTTCTTGGCCACTAGAGGCAATAGTTCAGGTCATGTCTAATGCCAGAGGTTAAACCATACAAATACAAGACCAAATGAGAGATCTCCAAGTGGAAAAATAGGAATGACACCACTACAAACATCCAGTGTACTCCACACAATATGCATTATTTAAAAAAAGTATAATATATTGTTGGTCAATGGCACAGTCTATTTCAGTTACCTCAAAATAGCAACGCGCCAAAAATGCTCCTGAACACACCTCGTTTTCAGACCAGCATGCCCATGAGTGCACAAATGAGCGCAACAACATGGCGCAGGACGTGGAAATGATAACTGCGTCGAGCTGAAACTAGCAAAAAACACTTTGCGCCTGGCGCTGAATTGCGCCGGGTGTATGATAGGGCCCAATGATCAAGCGTGCAAACTGTGTATAAGTTTACACTTTATTTAAACTTTTTATTATTATTTTGAGAATTTAAAAATGATCGGCTGTTTGCCTTTTATTTCAACACCGTTCACTTCCAAAGTGACACAGCTTAAATAAATGAAACTACAATGTTACTATTATTTTATTATTAGGTGTTATATTGGAATTAGATATTTACGGTAATGTGATGGAGACTTGTTGGATTACAAGCATGAAATAGAGTGAACAGCATGAAACCAAAAAATGAACAGGGTTTTATAAGAGCAATGCATGATTCACACAATGTGTGTATTTTTGCTATAAATTTAAATGTAATCTCTATGAATGACTCATTTCATTTATCATATTACATGCTTAAACCAAGGTTTAAAACATGATTTCTTTCAGCAGTATTTAAAGATCTTTTCAATTCATCTCATTTATGGTCACACTTATTCGTTAGCAAATATTTTTATCTGCTACTAAGAATAACTAAGTGCAGTAAAAGGTAAAACTATTTGCGCTACAAACTAGTGTGTTTATGCTTAGGATACTAAATTAAAATAATACTATAACAAATACCAATGTGCAACATCAAGCAGCATAACGCCTGCTGTTTTTGTACAGGTAAAATAACTGGAAGTGGAAGCCTTGCACATTCAAGTGAAAATCGTCCTCAACTACTTTTACGTTAAATATAAGGTTAATACGCCAGGGTCCAAAAATTACATTTTAAATAGTCTACACACAGACTTAAAGTCCCCCTGTGGTGATTTAAAAAAAAAAATGTTGTTATGTGGTGTTTTTAATATGCTTTAAGACAAACTATGTGCAAATTCATAAGTCAATACCATTGCTGATTATTTTCTCTTTAAAACTGCAATGATCTAAAGAGAGTCTCAAAAACGCGGTTTGAAATCGCTGATGTTTCCAACGCTATCTCACGACCAATTCGTCCGAATTTGACGAGTGATTAAAAGATGGCTAATTCGTACGACCTCATTCGTACGAATTTGTACGATTTGTCTAAACCCACGTGATGGATAGGTTTAGGGGCGGGGTCAGGGGTAGGTCATTCGTACGAATTCATACGAATTGGGCAACTCGTCAAATATGTACGTTTTAGCAAAAATCTTACTAATTCGTACGAGTGAGGTCGTACGAATTGTTACGAATTAGCCATCTTTTAATCACTCGTCAAATTCGGACGAATTGGTCGTGAGATCGGGTTGATGTTTCTGACGTCACAAACTACTTTGTAACCAATCACGTCAATGTGCCGGCGGGCTTTGGCATATCATTAACAGCGAACTAGCAGGGGAGTCTCGAGAGAACAGGTTATCCCGTATATTTTTCTGTTGATATGAAAAATTGGGTAGATTTAACAATATGGCGGGTGTATGATGTATACGATGATGAAATATATGCCTTTCTCCACAGACATTCTGAGTTGTTCAAAGTGTTTCTGTTGATTGCTAGAAGGCACCTTCCTGACTCTGAGATGACGAACGGGAACATGGTTTGTGTAACACTAGCAACACATTATTAGCTGTTTGATAACGTCAAGCAAAAGGCTAATCATATTAATTACCGTTATGTTTCTGCCGTTGTAGAGAGCGATAGGCTACTATTGTGCAGCCTTTACCTCAGTAAGTTGGCCGAGTGAATCTCTCATGCCGAGTTCACATTGAACGATTTTATGGCCGATTTTCGCTCGCTGACAGGTTTAGTGATATCGCCGACAAATGCCGGAAATCACAGGCAAATCGGTGACGCGATCTGAGAGAATCGTGTTGACTCGCAGACGCCCGTGAGATATTTGGCATGCTAAATATCTGGACCTCTCTGCGATTCAAAATCCTGCTGTGTAAATCACTTCTGACAGAAAATGATGTTTCATTAAACAAAGTTCAGGAGGAGCACGTTCAAATAATCAATCCAATCAACTTGTCATCAACAATCATCATGTCTATCCTATCAGCATGAGAGGAAGCATATATATATTCACTCAGTCGACTCACCTACATTCCTCGACAGTTTTTCAGCATCCCTCCACCACCCCGACTCCTCACTCTTGGCTTGTTCCTTCCACAGTCAGGAATACGGGGGGGAGTACTCTGGGTTCGGGCCGGAAACCAAGCCCGGAGCCCTCTCCTCGGACAGCATGCCAAATATCCATACCATTTATTTTATCCGACTTATTTGTAAGTGTGAACTCGTGAAACGACATCGGCGATGAACTACAGCCAATGAGAGAGCAAGATACAGGGCAGCGGGGAGTTCGGGGAGGAGTTATAGACCAGAATATCAGTATTTTAAAGTGATTCCTTGTCACTTCTTGCGTGTGTTTGGTTGTGAAACGTAGTTTGCGGACCAGACAGAAGTTGTCGGCAGCAACTGAATGCTTCCCCAGATAGTCGTGCAGTGTGAAAAGAACAGTGACCCGACTACTTTGAAAATCGTGCAGTGTTAACTCGACATCAGCTGGCGTAAATGAGTGGAAGCATATTCACAGATCCGCATATACTAAATGAAGCAAGGGTGTAGAGTTGCATTCAAGCTATTTTAAGGCATGAAGAAAAAAAAATTCACAGGAAAAAACATTTAAATATGGCATTTGGGTAATCAAAGATGAGTTTTGAAGGGGTCATCAGATGCAAAATTCACTTTTATATGGAGTTTGCATATAAATGTGTCTTTGCAGTGTGTGGACACAACCACCATACAATGAAAAAAATCCATTCACTCCTTTTTTTTTAATCCTCAAAAAGTCTAAGCACTCTCAATAATCAGGCCGTTTGGATTGTCTGAGCACTATAATGTCATAATGCTCATGCTCCGCCCACGACCACTGACGGACTGTCCCGTATTAGCATATTTCCGCCCTCAGCCATTCAACTCCCCCCATGGAAGAGAGGGGTGGGGTGAGTAGTTGCTCATTTAAAGAGACATACACCGAAACAGGTCACTGTGAACAAAGCTGTTTTTGAGGAGGTAAAAAGGGTGTTGTTTTACACAAGCATTGAGGAATTTTAATCAAAGTATATTACAAACCTTACATGAACACCCGAAAGAATCATACCAACTTGTGGAAAATGGGCATCCGATGACCCCTTTAAGGGGTACAATAGGGGACTTTAAGATTTGCAGTATTTCTAGGTTACTTATCAAAAAAGCAAATTTGTGACATGTTAACTGTACTTTTTTTTTCAATAGAAAAATAATAAATGGTTTTTTTTCTGTGCTCATGAGATAAGAACGTGTTAAATCCAGCGACTATATTAGAGTAGACGAAAGCATGATGACAAAAAATGATTTAACAAACAAGCACACAAAGGAGTTCTGGATGTCTACGGCTAAATTAGGGGCGTCGCAATTCTGTGGATGTGCGCTAAGCTTTCTGAAGCCACAAATGTTCAGCAGGATGACAAGAAAACCTTATGATGTCAAAGTGAATGACAGCCTTCAACCTTGACACAGAGGGACAGTCAAAGCCCTAAAATGCTTAAGAGCTATATGCTATAAGACACTATAGACGAGGTGTATAACTGGATTAAATCAGCTGTCTCTCCCAGACGAGTCTTGATTCAACATG